TGTGGGTTTGAGTGGCTACCTCAGGTCTGATGGTTGTGTGTGAAGTTATCACATCATGATAGTGAATTTTAAAAATAATAATAATGATCCTAGTTAGTAGGTTGGTAGACAGCAGCCACCCAGGGAGGTACTACCGTCCTGCCAAGTGAGTGTGAAATGGAAACCTGTAATTGTTTTACAGGATGATAGGGTTGCTGGTGTCTTTTTTTTTTCATCTCAAACATGTGGGATACCAGGTATATCTTGCTACTTCTACTTACACTTAGGTCACACTACACATGCATGTACATATACATACCCATCTAGGTTTTCTATTTTCTTAATAGTTCTTGTTCTTTATTTCCTCTAATCTCTATGGGGAAGTGGGACAGAATACTTCCTTTGTAAGCTGTGCATGTTGTGGGAGGATGCTGGGAGCAAGGGGTTAATAACCTTTTCTCCCAGTGGAATACAGCTGGTTTTTGGGAAAAAATAATAATAACAGTCATTTTAAGCACTAAACCCATAACCCTTAAACTGTCCAAACGTAGATCTACATTCACGTGCATAGCACTCCGACCTTGATTTTCCCCATTTGAAAGCATATAAAAAAATGTGGATCTACATTCGGAGCCCCCCTCCCCGTACATGGACGTAGATCTACGTTTGGACAGTTTAAGGGTTAATGACTATACATTCATGAGATGTCTAATTCCTTATACCAAGAGCCCCTCACTAGCATCAAGAAAGTTAAGGAACCTCCCTTGAAGGATAAGGGTTATACAGTGTCTGAGGAATGGAAGGTTATCAGATTTGACTCAAAGAAGGGGACGGTATAGTCAGTATCTTCCAGTATCTTCAGTATTTTGGTTCACTGCCCTAGCTCTGAGGGGTCTGAGCATTGACCTGTATATCTCATGGTAGGCAGATACCCATACCAAGGTGAGAGACTATGAAGCAAGATTAGTTGAAATTCTTAAGGTGTGTGCTACAGTTGTACCCTACATTACAATTGCACCGATGAGGCACACAATAATAATAATAATAACGCACAACCCACACACTGAGGTCTACGATTCGTTCCTCAGTACGGGTGGAAACACTGGGCGTTTTTCCTTAAGACAACTGCTGCCCCTGTTCACCTAGCATTAAGTAGGTACCTGGGTGTTAGCTGACTGGTGAGTCACAACCGGGGAACAAAATTAACCTAAGTTGCCTGAAATGCTCAGCATAACCAGGGATTTCTATATAGTATGTCACTGATGTCAACTAGGTCTGTACTTGTAGAAATATTTTTTTTTTTTTTTCTTCAACAAGTCGGCCGTCTCCCACCGAGGCAGGGTGACCCAAAAAAGAAAGAAAATCCCCAAAAAGAAAATACTTTCATCATCATTCAACACTTTCACCACACTCACACATTATCACTGCTTTTGCAGAGGTGCTCAGAATACAACAGCTTAGAAGCATATACATATAAAGATACACAACATATCCCTCCAAACTGCCAATATCCCAAACCCCTCCTTTAAAGTGCAGGCATTGTACTTCCCATTTCCAGGACTCAAGTCCGACTATATGAACATAACCGGTTTCCCTGAATCCCTTCACTAAATATTACCCTTCTCACACTCCAACAGATCATAAGGTCCCAAGTATCATTCGCCTCCATTCACTCCCATCTAACCCGCTCATGCACGCTTGCTGGAAGTCCAAGCCCCTAGCCCACAAAACCTCCTTTACCCCCTCTTTCCAACCCTTTCGAGGACGACCCCTACCCCGCCTTCCTTACCCTATAGATTTATATGCTTTCCATGTCATTCTACTTTGATCCATTCTCTCTAAATGACCAAACCACCTCAACAACCCCTCTTCTGCTTTTATTAACTCCACACCTTCTCCAAATTTCCACACTCCGAATTTTCTGCATAATATTTACACCACACATTGCCCTTAGACAGGACATCTCCACTGCCTCCAACCGTCTCCTCGCTGCTGCATTTACCACCCAAGCTTCACATCCATATAAGAGTGTTGGTACTACTATACTTTCATACATTCCCTTCTTTGCCTCCATAGATAACGTTTTTTGACTCCACATATACCTCAACGCACCACTCACCTTTTTTCCCTCATCAATTCTATGATTAACCTCATCCTTCATAAATCCATCCGCCGACACGTCAACTCCCAAGTATCTGAAAACATTCACTTCTTCCATACTCCTCCTCCTCAATTTGATATCCAATTTTTCTTTATCTAAATCATTTGATACCCTCATCACCTTACTCTTTTCTATGTTCACTTTCAACTTTCTACCTTTACACACATTCTCAAACTCATCCACTAACCTTTGCAATTTTTCTTTAGAATCTCCCATAAGCACAGTATCATCAGCAAAAAGTAACTGTGTCAATTCCCATTTTGAATTTGATTCCCCATAATTTAATCCCACCCCTCTCCAGAACACCCTAGCATTTACTTCTTTTACAACCCCATCTATAAATATATTAAACAACCATGGTGACATTACACATCCCTGTCTAAGACCTACTTTTACCGGGAAGTATTCTCCCTCTCTTCTACACACCCTAACCTGAGCCTCACTATCCTCATAAAAGCTCTTTACAGCATTTAGTAACTTACCACCTATTCCATATACTTGCAACATCTGCCACATTGCTCCTCTATCCACTCTATCATATGCCTTTTCTAAATCCATAAATGCAATAAAAACTTCCCTACCTTTATCTAAATACTGTTCACATATATGCTTCAATGTAAACACTTGATCTACACATCCCCTACCCACTCTGAAGCCTCCCTGCTCATCCGCAATTCTACATTCTGTCTTACCTCTAATTCTTTCAATTATAACCCTACCGTATACTTTTCCTGGTGTACTCAGCAAACTTATTCCTCTATAATTTTTACAATCTCTTTTGTCCCCTTTCCCTTTATATAAAGGGACTATACATGCTCTCCGCCAATCCCTAGGTACCTTCCCCTCTTTCATACATTTATTAAACAAAAGTACCAACCACTCCAACACTATATCCCCCCTGCTTTTAACATTTCTGTCATGATCCCATCAGTTCCAGCTGCTTTACCCCCTTTCATTCTACGTAATGCCTCACGTACCTCCACCACACTTACATTCTGCTCTTCTTCACTCCTAAAAGATGGTATACCTCCCTGGCCAGTGCATGAAATTACCACCTCCCTTTCTTCCTTAACATTTAAAAGTTCCTGAAAATATTCTCGCCATCTACCTAATACCTCCCTCTCCCCATCTACTAACTCCCCTACTCTGTTTTTAAGTGACAAATCCATACTTTCCCTAGGCTTTCTTAACTTGTTTAACTCACTCCAAAATTTTTTCTTATTTTCATTAAAATTTCTTGACAGTGCCTCTCCCACTCTTTCATCAGCTCTCCTTTTGCACTCTCTCACCACTCTCTTCACCTTTCTTTTACTCTCCATATACTCTGCTCTTATTATAACACTTCTGCTTTGTAAAAACCTCTCGTAAGCTACCTTTTTCTCTCTTATTAGACCCTTTACTTCATCATTCCACCAATCACATGGGATACATTTTTACAGCTACTTAGCGACAGACCTGTAGAGATCTCTGTGGGGACGAGAATCTTGATATTAACTTTAAAGACAACTGTAACTGACTGAGACAGTGGTGCACTGTGTCACCATTCAGTTGTTGTACCATTATCTACAGTTAAGTACTTACCTACTAAACTCCATCTCTCTTTCATACTGTTCTCATTTTATTATTATCAAGTTAAATGCTTTATAAATACAAAAGGATTAACTGCTCTCAAAAAATGAAAGAATCACAGTATAACAAAATATTTCATTACCACTGGGTGTCATACAGCACCTGGGGAAACAGGAGGCATTCTTGCTTGATCTAAGGAAGGGGAGCACAGGTATGATTCTTTAGATCAAGTGTCCATCACCGGCATCAAGGAACCTCCCTAGAGGGAAGTATCACAGAATATTTTCAATTAATACACTTTTCCTCAAACACCAATATCAATCACATTACTCTTCTGATAATTAGTCTTTGCTTAGTTCTATCATTCAGCCTACCAGTGGGAAGTATGTCTGCCTGAATGGCACCACACACTTCGAAAGCAAAATTACGATCAGAAGTAAGGCAATATCAAGAGCTGGCACATACATCACAATCAGCACAGTAATCTGAATGAGCAGCAATACTGGTGATACCGGGACTAAACAGACTAACTTATATAATAAAAAATGGATAAAATTTTTCAGGTCACTCTACTACGGTGGAAGATAGCCAGTCTTAAAAAAATAATAATAAATAAAGATAAGTCATAATAATCAGTGCGCTTGCTGTAACCTATGGTACATCAGGTTATCTAGATACATTTTATTAATGTTAAGGTATGAGAAAGAAATCTCAGCAAAAATTAGTTGAACAAAAACATGTATCGTATTCCGTGGCTTATTAGACGCATTTTTTTTTCCATAAAATGTCTTCAAAAACCACCCTGCATCCTATAAACTGAAAGTCAGTGACAGTAGCTATAAGTTTGGGGTGTGGGGTGGGTTGTAGCTCTCCCAGTTGCATCAAATGCCGAGCCAATGAAACTAAAACAAGTCGTATAAGCCGCGTCTTATATGGTAAGTGCCTCTCTGCATTTACTTGTACTTTTCAAGAAAGGTGTGTGAAAACCTGAAAGTACTCAGGTGTTTGTAGTATTTTTTCATATTCTTAGTCAGGCATTTTACAGATGTTTATATTTCTAGGTTTTGGCATTTGGAGGCCAAATTAAGTTGAAGACGTCAAACAGTGGTGGTAAACACCATGCAGAGATGCACATGATCATATTAGGCAGACCACAGAATGCAACAGCATGAATAAAAACAAGATGGAAGGGGGTTTGCAAGTAAACATTATTGGCTGGTGATTACATTAGGAATCTGGAAGCATTCACTTCTCTTCTGTAGTTGTGTCAAGGCAAATAATACATCTGAAGGAAAAAGACTGAAACCTGTATTATAGATACAGAGCAATGTACAATCACTTATCACAATGCTTCAATCAGGATATTTGCTGGTACTAGTTAATTGTCACGGCAAACTCCTAAGATACATTACTGAAGGACATTCTCTCTAGGTAAGAGAACAAGTTGAGACATAAAAACACTGTCAGATAAAACTCTAATATATAAACTAGTATTAATTTTCATGTAAAACTTATACAACAGACAGTTTTATGTAATCCCTAGTCACACATATTGATAATAATTTTCTCAGATTGCACAGTTTAATAGAAAAAGACTCACAAAAATATAAATTAGCAACAAATTTGTCACGATACTTGAAACTCAGTCCACAACTGATAATTTTTGAGGGATTGTATATTCTGTTCCTTAAATAACTTTGTTCACCAATATACCACATGCACTGCTATAATGTAATTACCATCACATTAAAGAGTAAACTCTTGCTTATCCAGATTAACTGGTGAATAAACTCCATATGTTCAAGTGAGCTCTTTTATTTTTCCCTATTTTTCTGAACCAAGATAGAGCATTTTCAAAGAAGCTAAATGCCACATTCATGGTATTTCAAATCCATTTGTTAACACCCTGCAGTCAGTAACAAATGTAATAAGTGAGGAAGGGAATCAGAGAACATGAAAACTGCAGTTTTTAAATAGTCATATTATAGTTTCTTTTCTATGTACAGTGTATTGTTTCTTGCTATTTTAACTCCTAGATGTTTGAAGTATACCAAAACACCATAGATACCATTTGTTATACTAAACAGTAATCACAGACTGCCTTTCATCATTTAGTGAATTTGTTATCTCTGTTAACTCAATGCTAAATTAGTAGAAGAGTCTTCTCCACTGGATAGTATTCAGGTAAATGACTTAAGATCTTGTCTGTTGCATCAAGATTTGATCCAAAAAGAGCCAGAGAAGCAGGAGTTCACTAAACTAAAACATTACCAATATATTATACAACAATTGCCACTAAAAATCCATGTAATATTCTTTCTAAAATGAAAAAATATTTCTATTACAATTTAATGCAAGAATGCAGTAGCAATAAACAAACAGAGCTTTGTACTTGATACAGCTGTATTAAGCAAATGGCAAAAATAAAATTGCCAATAAAAATACTTGTTGACTATCTGTACATGTGATAAAACAAAGATGACAAGCATGTACTCCTTATCACTTGGGTAAAAGTTAGACCAAATGAGGTATGAATAAAGTGTCATTTCAAGTACATATTTCAAGTAGTGTATGAAGACAGATGAGGGAGAGAGAGAGACTGAGATTTACCCAACAGTGTAAATTATAAATCAGCCTTTTACCATTAGGGAAAGAAAAAAAAAACTGGACTTTCAGATATGCCCCTTTCCAGCATAACCTCCATCATCACTATATACTCAACAACATAAGGCATCTTATGTAATTCCATGAAATGCCAAAAGTATGGTACACCACAGTAATTGTCAGCCTAATGTAAAATGAGTCGTATATACCTTTAAGATAAAAACATATACGTGTATTGTAAAAGTTAGTTGTCGAGGAGGTATGAAGAGATTTGTACATTGTGCCTTATATACTGTACATAGGTAAATGACACCACCTACTTTCTGATGAACACACGGATCGTTCACTACAATGCTTCCCTTTCCACGGATGTATGCATGTGTGTGTATATGTACATGCATGTGGTGTGATGTTTGGTGTGGTGTGGTATGGTTTACTCTCCTATTTGTGGTTGCAGGCATTGAGTCACAGTTCCTGGCCCTGCCTCTTCGCTAGTCGCTACTAGGTCCACTCTCTCCCTGCTCCATGTGCTTTACTTTATCTATTCTTAAAGTAATGTATGGATCCTGCCTCCACTACATCACAAGATTGTTTCACTTCCTGACAACTCTATGACTGAAGAAATACTTCCTAACATCCCTTTGACTCATCTGAGCTTTAAACTTCCAGTTGTGAACCCTTGTTGCAGTGTCCCATCTCTGAAACATCCTGTCCCTGTATGTGGGTGTTTGTGTGCATGTGCATGTGTGTGTGTAATTGCGTGTGTGTATATCTGTGCATGTGTGTGTGTTTATATATACAGTATACATACACACAAATTAATTGAGAATTGAATATTTTTGGCCAGCGCCTGAGGCACTATTCAGGAAAGTCAATGGAAAAAGCTCCTCATATGCAGAATGAAATACTATACAGTATACACACACATACAAACTGTACAGTACAGTAGGACCCTGACTTACAAAAGAAGCACTCTGGGACCAATTACTGAAAAACAACTCGCCCTTGCAGAGTGGGGGCTGTATGTGGCGATGGAAATATCACTTGAAGTCCACTGAGAAAAACTGTATCACTATTCAGTAAGGATGGTTTATACTGAAAAAATCCTCAGTTTTTAACAAATGCAATAATTTGTGCATATTCATTTTATGCAAATGTGGAGAATTGATATGTTTGTTACAGAATGTTCAAGAACTGAAGATTTATAAATTAGTACTATGTTTTTATTAATGCTGAGATAAATATTTTTTTATGGTTAATTTTAAACAAATATATTGACAATTTGGGTATCTTCATTATATGCACTTACAGAAAGTTCATGAATAGTAGAGATTGGTCAAGAACTGTGAATTTAGAAATTATGTTTTTGGTAAAGCTAAATTATAAGAAAAATCCTCAACTACATTTTTAGCAAATGCTACAATACTTTGTGTATGTTCAGTTTATTCATGAATGGATAGAATGCTTTTGTTTTAAAATGACTGGTCAATATCTACAGACTTAAAAATTATGTTTGTGTGTTAGGGGTAGGTGGGTGTATCTAATATGCAATCTGTGGCTGAGGTGCAGTCTCTGCTCACCTTCCTCCACCACCCTCTATCCCTCCCTATCCTCCTGTTCGGGACCTAATTTCCCTCAACATAACATTAAACGTATGTAAGAGAGCATAATTTAAGTGTTGTGTAATACAATGAGAGAGGGAGGGAGGAGTTGTTGCTCCTGCCTTACTCCACTACCCTCCCTCCCTTCCCATTACAACAAGGGATGGGAAAATGGGAAAGGGGAAAAAGGGAGAAGGGGAGAAAGGGAAAGGGGAGAAAGGGAAAGGGGAGAAAGGGAAAGGGGAGAAAGGAAAAGGGAGAAAGGAAAAGGGAGAAAGGAAAAGGGAAAAAGGATAAGGGAGAAACAGAAAGGGTATAAAGCAGGAGGAAAGAAAATGTGAGAGAGGAGGGGAGGGGGCAGGGAGGAGACTTATCCAAGTACATACTTCACATTTTTTAATGTTAATGGAAAAAATTAAATTATGTATGGAATAAAAGGGTCGGAAACCACATCTTTGACTATAGGATTGGAATCTTTGGAAAAAATGGGTTACAACGTATAAACACACTAGTAATGAACAGTTCTCGGGAACGCATTGTCATCCGAAGTCGGGGCCCAACTGCACATACATAAAAATAAACAATACCAGATATCTATCAACATCACTTGGGAAGTGCTCAACCCATAACCTTACAATCATTACTGAGCTGGGGATATCGAATTTGGAACAAGAATCCTGGCGTGCATCTCACTAATTAGAGGCACTGTGTATGCAACCACCTCGTCCCATCCTGGATCACGCCAGGCATTTTCCCGCGCTTCCTTCCTTGCCTCCAGAGAACTGTAACCTATATGAGAGGAAGTACAAATTAAATAACTTGCAAGAAAAATGTCATAAATTATCATAGTAGTATATTTATAATGACACTTCAGATTCAAACCAATGTAGAATTTTTTTCTTTTATACAAATAAGTACCCAAAAGTATATAAGCTGTTGGAGTATGAGCAGGGTAATATTTTGTGAAGGGATTCAAGGAAACCAGTTAGCTGAACTTGAGTGCTGGAGATGGGAAGTACAATGCCTGTACTTTCAAGGAGGGGTTTGGGATACTGGCTGTTTGGAGTGATATCTAAACTGTTGTATCTAAGTGCCTCTGCAAAGACAGTGATTATGGGTGAATGATAGTGAAAGTGTTGAATGATGGCGAGTTTCTTTACTGGGTCATCCTGCCTTGGTAGGAGATAGCCGAAGTGTTAAAATACAGTGGACCCCCGGTTTACGATATTTCATTCCAGAAGTATGTTCAGGTGCCAGTACTGAACGAATTTGTTCCCATAAGGAATATTGTGAATTAGATTAGTCCATTTCAGACCCCCAAACATACACGAACAAACGCACTTACATAAATACACTTACATAATTGGTCGCATTGGGAGGTGATCGTAAAGCGGGGGTCCACTGTATATATATACATGTTATATATATATATACGTATATATATATATACGTATATATATATATTTGGTAGGGTGTGCAAAAGAAGAAAATTAAAGGTGAATACAGGAAAGAGTAAGGTTATGAGGATAACAAAAAGATTAGGTGATGAAAGATTGAATATCAGATTGGAGGGAGGAGTATGGAGGAGGTGAACGTATTCAGATATTTGGGAGTGGACGTGTCAGCGGATGGGTCATGAAAAGATGAGGTGAAATCATAGAATTGATGAGGAAAAAGAGTGAGTGGTGCACTTAGAGTCTGTGGAACAAAAGAACTTTGTCCTTGGAGGCAAAAAAAGGGGAATGTATGAGATATAGTTTTACCAACGCTCTTAATGGGTGTGTGAAGCGTGGTGATGAATGTTGCAGCGAGGAGAAGGCTGGAGGCAGTGGAGATGTCATGTCTGAGGGCAATGTGTGGTGTGAATATAATGCAGAGAATTCGTAGTTTGGAAGTTAGGAGGAGGTGCGGGATTACCAAAACTGTTGTCCAGAGGGCTAGGGGGGGTTTTGAGGGGGTTGGACATGTAGAGAAAATTTTAGCGAAACAAATGACTTAAAATGATCATCTGTAGGGAAGGAAGGGCGGGGTGGGGTCGGCCTAAAAGGGTTGGAGGGGGGGGGGAAAAGGAGGTTTTGGGGCAGGGTTTGGGGATTTCCCAGCAGGCATGCGTGAGCTTTTTTGATGGGGTGAATGGAGACAAAGGGTTTTTTTAATATTTGACGTTGTTGGGGTAGAAAAAGTAACATTTATAAAGGGGATTGGGGGAAACCGGCGGGCCGGGACTTGAGTCCGGGAGGGGAAGTACGTCCCTCACTCTGAAGGAGGGGTTTAATTTTGCGTTTAAAAACGTAGTGAAAAGCACCCTCTGGAAACAGTGAGGGAGTAAATGAGTGAAAGTTTTTCTTTTTGGGGCCACCCCCCTTTGGTGGGAATGGGCCGGTGTGATAATAAAAAATAAAAAAAAAATAATTATATATATCGTTATATAAATTTTATACGTATATATATATATATATTTTCTTTCAAACACTGGCGGGATCCCCCGAGGGAGGTGGCAAAAAAAAAAGGAAAAAAAAAAGTTTGTCCCTTTTCATTTGTAAATTAAAGGAGAAGGCGTTACTACCCCTTTTCCCGGGATTTTAGGCGCCTCTTTCACATGATGGCTTACGGAGGAAAAAATCGTTCCTTCCCTAGGATAAAGGAAATAAACAAGAACTAGAAAGAAAACAGAAGAAAGCCCAGAGGGGTGTGTATATATACTGTATATGATTGTACATGTATGTGTAGTGTGACCTAAGTGTAAATAGAAGTAGCAAGACATACCTGAAATCTTGCATGTGTACGAGACAGAAAAAAGACACCAGCAATCCTACCATCATGTAAAACAATTACAGGTTTCCGTTTTACACTCACTTGGCAGGACGGTAGTACCTCCCTGGGTGGTTGCCGTCTACCAACCTACTACCTACAATATACATATATATATATACATACATGTATATATATATGAAGAGATATACAATTAAAGAGAATTTGAGAAAGAAAAAGAGAAAAAGAAAAGGAGAAATAGAAAGAAAAAGAAAGAAAAAAAAGGGAAAAAGAGAGACTGTGGCCAGTGAAGGGGTGGGGGCCTGGAGCTGTGACTTGACCCCCGCAACCACATAGGTGAATAACTATACGTACACATGTGCGCATGCACGCACAAATGTATGCACATACAGAGAGAGGGAGGGAGAGAGAGGGAGGGAGGGAAAGGGAGGGAGAGAGAGAGAGGGAGGGAGGGAGGGAGGGAGGGAGGGAGGGAGGGAGTAAGGTTGGGACTGAGGGAGGTAGGGACTGAGGGAGGTAGGGACTGAGGGATTGAGGGAGGGAGAAGAAATGCCAGCTGCTCTAAGCTAGATCAATCACCAGGTAAGAGCTATATCACCTTGGGGAAACCGATGGCAGGTAACATTTGCACCTGAGAAAATGCAAATGATGATGGTCTCTAGGCACCATGATGGTAATGCCAGAGCAGTAATAAGTATGAATGGGAGAGTGTTGGTACCTGGGGAAAAAGTTGATATCCTTGGAGTGAAATTTGACTCCAAACTGACCATGAAGAACCACGTTGTAAATCTTGCAAACAAGTCAGCCAGGAAGCTTACAGCACTTCAACTTATCTTGCATCTGCTTGACAGAAGGGGTTGCAAGATTCTGTATGAGGCACAAGTATGCTTGACAGAGAACAGAGCAAGATGTCTCATGTCTCACCTGGACACATCATGGATAGATCTGTCATTTCAGCAGTCTTCAACTCAGGAGGGATGTGGGCAGAATTACTGTTATGTACAAGGCCAACATTGTCAAAGTACCACACTTGGCTCCACTTTGAGGACAGCAAGAAAGGGGTAGTGAGAGAGGGGAGGGGGAGAGTGAGGAAGGGGGAGAGTGAGGAAGGGGGAGGGGGGGAGAGTGAGGAAGGGGGAGGGGGAGAGGAGGGAAAGGGGGAGGGGGAGGGGTGAGGAAGGGGGAGGGGGAGAGTGAGGAAGGGGGAGGGGGAGAGTGAGGAAGGGGGAGGGGGGAGAGTGAGGAAGGGGGGAGGGGGAGAGTGAGGAAGGGGGAGGGGGGAGAGTGAGGAAGGGGGGAGGGGGGAGGTGAGGGGAAGGGGGAGGGGGGGAATGAGGGGGAGGGGGGGAATAGGGGGAGGGGGAGGGGTAGGAAGGGGGGGGAATGAGGGGGAGGGGTTAGGAAGTGGGGAGAGGGGGGGGGTAGGAGTGGGGAGAGGGGGAGGGGTAGGAAGTGGGGAGAGGGGGAGGGGTAGGAAGTGGGGAGGGGGGAGGGGTAGGAAGTGGGGGAGGGGGAGGGGTAGGAAGTGGGGAGAGGGGGGAGGGGTAGGAAGTGGGGAGAGGGGGAGGGGTAGGAAGTGGGGAGAGGGGGAGGGGTAGGAAGTGGGGAGAGGGGGGAGGGTAGGAAGTGGGGGAGAGGGGGAGGGGTAGGAAGTGGGGAGAGGGGGAGGGGTAGGAAGTGGGGAGAGGGGGAGGGGTAGGAAGTGGGGAGAGGGGGAGGGGTAGGAAGTGGGGAGAGGGGGGAGGGTGGGGGAGAGAAAGAGGGGGAGGGAGTGGGGAGGGATTTGGGGAATGGGAGAGTGGGGAGAGGGGGAGGGGTGAGGGAGTGGGGGGAGGGAGGGAGAGTGAGAGTGAAGAATCTTATGTAATGTTCAAGAAGTAGTCTTGGACAAAACATATTCAATATTATCTCCATGTTTACATGGCTGTGACTGGTTGGTAGTGTTGGTGGTGGGTGGCTGATAGTTATGTGGTGTTTGGGTGTGTTGTGGTAGTTAGATGGTTGCGGTGGTGTCAGTGCTGCTGTTGGTGACAGTCTTGGGGTGGTGGTGGGGGTGATGGGTGATGCTGGAGAGGGGGGTGGGGGTGATGAGTTAGTGTTGGTTGTGTGGATGGTCTCAAGTAGTATCAAGCATATCATCATCTGTCCAAAACTGGTGCTATCAACTGAAATTTTACACTAAAGTATCATAAATGCAATGCCACTATGAGGAAAATAATCATGCAAGATCAACTACCCTCTCACTTGTTATGGAGATAACAAGCTCACCAAGACACCATTAATATAAAGGACACAAAGAAGAATGCTTCATAAACTGACTAGAAGAATCTCTATGCTGGTGCTCAGTATCCCATTTTACATGACCCCCAATACTGTCTTGAGTACTAGGTAACATTCATTCACATTCAGGGGATCTCGACTATGAGTAAGTGCTTAATACAGTTAACTGCAATCCTCTTTCATACTAATGTTTTCTATAAAAAAATGCTCTGTTTGTAACTTGGAGCACCAGAAATGCAGCTTGTTCATAAGTTGGCACACCTGGAAGGCAGCTTGTTCATGATTTGGAACACCAGGAATATAAATCACTTGTTAGTTGGGGACCCCCTGTATCACTTATATTTTTAGCAATATAAACTGAAATTTGGTGGGATATGGCTGGTTTGTTGAAAGAAGAAACTGAAATTTAACACTAATATGAATACAGCAACAGAGTACTATAAGTAGGATCATGCAGGATAAAACCACTAACCCACTTATGGTGAACCATATTTAACAGTTCATTAAAAATACTAACAAGCTTTAAATCTAACCTCATTTTTCTAAGAGACAATCATAACTAGGCAGTCATGTAATTTGTAATTTAAGATTCATAAATGTGATTTCATAAAAAATTATCATTCAGCATGCAACAACAAAAATATAACACACAATAATATATAAAATTTGCAAAATAATTCAACAAATGCGAAAACATTCAAAATGAAGAAAAATGATCATGCATAAAATAGTCTGAG